TAAAAAAAAAAAAAAAAAAAAGAAATTTAATGCCTTGTGTCCTTCTACTATGACATAGGATAAGAGAAATAGCAGAGAAGGCTGCATTAAACTTTGTCACAATTAGCAGGGATCTTTAAGTTGATTTATTTAACCTCCTTTATTTTGTTACCTTTAAAAATAGAAATAAGGGAACCTGAACTCCTCGATTACTCTGCCCTCTGTACAGATGAGCTGTCTCTCAGCAGTAGTTTGTGGCCAGACAACCACTGTCAACTCAATTGCTGCTGAAGCTGAAAGTTAACGACTCTAATACTTTGATTAAATAGCAAGTGAGTTTAAATTGACTAATGGCAACAAAACTGCTCCTGCAGGACAGCCAAGCACCAAAGAATGTTGTCGCTTGTCGTCGTTGTCATCATCTCCTTAGCTGACTCTAGCCTGCATCCTGTACACTTGCCAAGTTAGGGTAAATACTGCACTGGGGACCTTTAACAGCTCCCAGCTTAGCAGTCTTAAAGCTAATGCAACCTGGCCACTTTTCTAGATTGCTGAGTGTTGTGTGTGTGGGGTTGACAGTTTCCCTACAGGCTTTGGCTTTAGCGCCTAAAGTGCTGTTCAGGTTGCTTTTAGATCGTAGAAGGCTGACCTGGGGTCTGCTTAAAGGAACCCAGTTCAGCAGTGAAGCTAATTGCGGTGAGTCTGACAAGAAGCATTGAAATTAGTTTGTTCCTTTGAGCCTTTTTTTTAATAAGGTACCATAAACTTCAGTTTGTATTGCATATTGCATTTATTGAAACAACTTGCTGCTGCTATATTAGTACTAAGCATTTAATCAAAACCCTCTGTAAAAGTGAAGAGATTGAAAAACTTCCTAAGCTCTGTGTATGCAGTACAATCAAATGCAGCCACTAAAAGGATCTATGGAAGCTTATGCCTTTCTGAATCTGTCTTTAAGGCAATGTCACCTTGCCCTGTCTTCTTCCTGACTGAAAGGAGCTGAAGCTTTGCCCTTGGATCCTAGACAAATCCCTACTCCATGTGAAATAAGAAGCATCTGATCTCCAGTGCCCACAGGGAACCTGACCTTTAGTTTTTGTAGGCCTTATCTGAAAATAAAAGCTTCAGTAGTGTAATGAAGAGAGGTTTCCAATTTAGCTATTAGTCTGGAAATTAACAGTGGGTAGATTAACTGACAAGCTGGGGAAGAGTGTCAGGGCCCAGTAGCTTTTGTAATAAAATCTTCAGAGCTCTCATGGTCCTTTTTGCTACTTTAGTTAGAGCTGTGAGTCCATTGTTAGGGCAGAGAGCAATCCTCACTTTTAACCCCCCCGTTTGCAGTTGCCGGCAACTTTCTCAAAAGCTTTTCCTTTGGGTTGCCTCTGATTGCTTTCTCCCTCTGTCAAAAGGTTAGATTTAAACTCTGTGCATGTTCTTTTTAGTTTTATTTTCTGAATCTTCATTGGCTTGGCCAGTTTAGCACTTCTGTTTGTACAGTAGTGATGAAACTGGTAAAGTTGTCACATTCTGGCATCCTGTGGGTATTGCATGACTGCTCAACGATCTTATATAGAACACAGAAATTAGCCTGGAATACAGAGCTTTAGAAAAAGATATATAAGGCTCCTTTCTGCTGACTTTTGTTTTAGGACAGCTGTATTAAATGCATATTGTGGCACAGGTTAAACATCCTTAATGGAGCTGAATTCCCAAGTATATTTACACTGCTTTGTACAGCCAGCAAATCTCTTGGAGTTATGACCAAAATCAGAAGGTGATTTGTATTTGGCCCCTTTATACTGACTCTATATTTCTTTACATATCTGAGTAGGTGTAAATAAATGTAAAGCATTTAGTATTTATGAGTTTGCTAGTGGTAAAAGGGGCGCATCATCCACCCTCTCTGAGATTTGCTCTTTGTTTGGATTTATAATTGCCATTTATCTACTAACAAAGATAATACATTACTGTTTTACAACAGAGTCACATCCATGTCCTCCAAAACCAGACCCTGTAAAGAGTTTATCCAGTTCTCTTAACAATCTGACTCCTGCCAAGTTCACACCTGTCATTAACAATGGATCTCCAACTATTCTGGGAAAAAGAAGCTATGAGCAACACAATGGGATGGATGGTAAATATTTTCTGGTATATGTATATTGTCGTCCATGTAGAAGATTTCTTTTATTATCACACATAGCACTCTTGTTAATAGTCTGTTGTGAGGTTTTACCAGTAACCAGTATCTATCCACATATAATTGAGAAGGGATAGCTTTTTATTTTAAAAAATTAGTGATTTCAAACACAAAGACAGGTTTTCCAGTGTTAGCGTTTCTGTGGAGAGAGAAATTATATATGTATATCTATATATGTATATAAATATAAACAAACTTGTATGGGAAAGTGTGCTATCTAGGTAGTACATATGTATAGTTACCTTGCAAATGGAACTCTGACTGCATCTTGAGGTCAGGTTAAAGCAGGCGATCTCAGCACTGCAAAGATAAAAACAACCCTCTTTTCTTAAGATTAAGATAGCAATTACTACAGGATGTTTCCCAAGCTATGCCTCTCTTTTATATTTAAAATTTTACTGCCTTTCAGCCATAGGAAGATGCTCAAATTATAGGTAGTTATCAGGGGATCGCCTGCATTTAGCTGAAGCTGTCAAGGGCTGCTTTGCTAGGGAGGATGGCAGGCCCATAAGTTAGTAGAAGCAGGAGAGCCTTGCCTTGCTCTCTCTTACCCAAAGCCAGACCTCTCCTTTTCCTGTTGTCTCTCCTTTTGAGGGTCTCCTCTTACTGTTGATGCATCCTGTCTCTTCAGCAGCATGGGGAAGGCAGCATATGCTTGCACAGGAGATGAAAGTGGGCCATTCCTGACATGGAGTCCAGAGTGCTGGCCCGAATAGCTAGCTATTAGCTGAAAACAGTGTCCAGGAAAGTGAAGCCAGCTGCTTAGATGAGGATGAGAAGGCATATTCAGATGGCTTTAACAAGAATAAGAAAGCAGAGTATGGCTTGCCTTAGAGAGGTATAGCTGCAAGTTGACTTACCAGTGCCTGGGACAGGGCAGAGATAAAAATGTAATGGCTTCTGATTTTTTCCCCAGTAGTGAACGAAACTATCTTATCAGTTCTTTGCCTATCTGTCCAGCCTCCATAAACTCCCTGTGCTGTATTAAAGCGATTTATCCTTGTATTGCAATATAGCCGAACAGAATCCTTCCCTTCTTTGTGTTTTTATTTTTTACTTGAGTTAGTATTTGTATTTTAAGACAAACTACAAATAGCACCTGATATTTTACTGTTTACAGTCTTAATATTGAAGCTTGTAAAAATACTATTGTTCAGTTTGCTGATGTGGTGTTTTTTCTCTTTTCTGTTCACTTGTGCTCTGTCAGGCAACATGAAGAAGCGACTATTGATGCCTAGCAGGGGTAAGACCTTGAAGCTGCGCTCAGCTTATGCTAGGAGAGTGATTTTAATTTCATCTGTTGGCTTCTTTAGTTTGCTTGTCTGTGCTTTTGGCTACTAATGCTATGCATACATTTTGTGTTGGTGTCTAAATGTTTTTGGGGTAAGCCACCTGTACCTGTGGGCTACATTGATTGTTTTCCAGTCTTTTACATGCACAAGACTACTTAGTTGTTCCACCTCATTTATTGCATGGAAACAATAACAGAAGAAAATACTCACTTTCAGTTATTACATCCCAAATCATCATGTTGTATTTCAATATCTTTTACAAAGCTACTAGAAAGTTTTTAAGCAAGTTAAGGGTGGCTTGAATGAGTGTTTTGTTTCACTATTTCATTTTAAGAAATCCTAAACTCTGCATGTTCTAAGTAAACTTTAAATATCAAAAACATACCAGCCAAGAAAAGAAGATAGTGTAGCAGTTTATACTACAGGGGTGTAGGTTGTAGCTGTGTTGGTCTAAGGACATAGGCAGACAAGGTTCTTTGAGTTAATCTGATGTCTTTTATTAGACCAACTTAAATAGTTCGAGAACAATTTTTAAGCAAGCTTTCGGGTTCAAAAACCCTTCATCAGGCTAAGGAAGTTTCAGCAGTTGGTGTGCGCTCTTCCTGGATGGAATGAAAAGTAAGGAAGCCAGAGGCTGTGCTGGTATGCGTTCAAGACAGGTAGTCAGTGAAAATGTAGTTTGAGGAGTCAATGGGTGAGAAGCAGGCTGGGTGGGGGGTGGGGAGAGAAAGGGAATGAATAGTGGAGAAGTACCTGGGAAGTCAGTTGTTAGGCAGTTCTGTACTATAATTTTCAGTCACAATCTTTCATAATGCTGGAGATATTGCTAGCTCAGTGATTTTCAGCCAAGACAAGATCCCTTTAATGGCACAATATTATCAGTGTTAGGTGTGCCAAACACCTACACATGAGTCACAAGATAAACCTGGACATTTCAAATAGGAATCCATAATTTTAAAAACATTTAGACCTATTGTGGTTTTTCTGAGTTCTTTGAAGCTGGGATCCTATGATCCCTGCTGACTTCCTGCCCCTGTGGCAGGGGGCTGGACTGAAATGATATTCTGAGGTACCTAATGTCTATGAAATCTATGAAATAGAAAAAAATCTTAATTTTTCCATGGTCAAAAACGAGTTAAAATGAAAGCTTGCATTTTCCAAGAGGTGCCTTAAGTCTAAAAAGGTTGAGAACCAGTGCTGGCTGATAAACCAGTGCTAGTATTCATTGAGGAAGCAGGCAACTGTAACTTCAATGCCTTGCTTTTAAGTAGCACTTTTTAAAATCCATAGGTTTCAAAGTGCTTTACACAGTTAGTAAGCATGATTATCCCCATTTAGAAATGATAAATTGAGCCAAATTGGTGTTAAGTGATTTGCTCAGAACAGGAGCCAGTTACCCTAAGTCCTTACCCAGTGTCCTCTCTGTTATATTTTGTCTTGGTAGACAACAGAATATTCTATTGTGCTTGTTCAGAACGTAATTTTTTAAGGATTTTGACTTTGTTAAATAGGGAAAAAATATTCCCACTAAACAAAGGCACTGCTGTTCTAAAGTCTGTCCCTGCCAAGTCTCAAGTTTCAAACTTCTTTTTTTGCCAAAGGAGGTTTGTTTTTTTTTACAGTGGGATTTAAAAATTTTTTTTCCAACTGATAGGAGGGAGACATGATTTTTCTCTCACTTTCAAGGCTGGAGGATGTTGGAGAACCTCCTCTCATGAGAATAGCTGTGGAAAACCTCAGTTTTGAATGATTTGGAAAGTCACATATAGTAGATATGACTGGTGTTTGCCATAGGTGCACGCAATGAAACAACTGTTGAATACATCCCAAAGCTTGCATTAATTAAAAGACCAGGTTGGCGGCGCAGTAATCAAGTTTTGAACAGTAATATTAACTTACCAATATTGCTCATTCCCTGTATATTAAGGTTGCCTTTAAACACTTGGTTAATAGGTGAAGCTGAACTTAGCATGAGAACAATCGCTCTTACATTCTCTGATTCTTTTATAAATTAATAACCCTACTGTTGCACTACAGGTGTTCTCAGCATCAGTTTTAACATCCCTGTTAAAATGCCATGTGCCTCCTTTAACCACTGACCCTAGAAATGGGGGTTCCCAAGGCAGTTTCAGCTGCTGAATAGCTCATTGACTTTCTGCAGCTCAGAATGATCATAAGGTTGTGGTTATGACTTCCATTTCCTGCATAACAGCTGATCATCAGTGAAGGAATTTCTGGGTCATTCACTTAGCAGGTGAAGAACTTGTGAGGTCTTGACAGGTAATCTGGTTCAAGTGACAGAAATGGAAGGAGGAGGATGAAATCTTTCTCTGACTCTGCAACTGCCCCCATGAGATGCTGCATCTGGGAATCAGGCAGGTCCTAGTTATTACAGGTAGAAAATCCAGGATTAGTGTTGTAACAGGTGTGTTTTGTTTTGTTTTTTAATGCCTGAGTGCTGATATGAAAGCTTGCTGGGATGTAGTTAAATGACATTTAAAAATCCCTTCTGCAAAGTGCCCTACCAGCAATCAAGTGCCTGGTCAGAATACATACTGTTTCTTTTCCTTTTTTTCCCCCTGACCTATGTATGATGGCTCTCGTTGGGTATGTGTAAAACTTAACCAAACACTTACTCTTTATGCCCATAATCCAGCATCTAATGGTTTACAGCTTTTGTTTTTCTTCCAGCTCCCAGGAAGAATGGTTTATTATCCGGCCATGTCCCTTTCCTGCACTGTTGACTTACCTGCTCTTGTGCATAATTTAAATTTTTGGTTAAAACTTGGTTTTTAGGGAAAGTATTTGAGGCTTGCCAATTTCATGAACACAAATGTTTTCGGACTTCTTGGGTAACTGGAATCCTTACCAAGGTGGCAATCCCCTATGAGAATACAGGGTGTAAAAATACCTCAGGCCAGATCTGTACTGAGATCTGCTTGGCAATGAGAAGTATATGATGAGGGCATATGGAGCTGGCTGTCTCCATGATTTTATAGTATGATATGTGCTAACCCAGTAGAACTTGGAGCAACCTAAAGGACTGAGATTGGCTAAGGTTTCCAAAAGTAATTGCTTCTCAACTGGAGTAGCCCAAAAAGGGCAACAGTGGAAAAGGTGGCATGAAAGTGAAAATAGGGCTCACAAAGTCTTGCATTGACAGAAGCACAGTCTTCCCTTGTAATTAATATACGTACAGGGGACCTGTGAGCTATTATTTATTATCTTTTTTAATAGGCCATTTTAGCAGGTTGCCGTTGATTCAGATTTCTATGTTGGGGGGTCATGGGTCTCTGCTAGAAAGAGGCACAAAAAAATCTATAGTCTTTTGAATAAGTAATTGCAGCACTGCTGCAGGGATAGTATGACTAACATTTTTCTCTTTACAAGTATAAGTTAGTTTTCAAGTTGCGTGTACTATATCTTCTTATATACAACACACCTTTCCCCACTAAAATTGGGGTGCACGTATTAAGCAGGTAGCTGTTTTCTTTGCTGGAAAAGAAGCACAGTTGCCAGGATGGTTGGCCCTTGGTACTGGCTTAGGCTAATGTGATAGAGTCCTCTGTTGACCTTCTCACAGCCATAGTTGTTGGCTGAGCACTCGCAGCTTGTGTCTGAAAAGCAAGTGAGCTGTTGGCTGCATCCTGATGAAGCTTGTGGTGTGGTAGCAACACTTTATATACATAAATTCATTTAGCAACTGCCTAGAGTAAAGAAGTAACAGTCTTGCTTCTGGCCTTGCAAGGGTCTGGGGCCTAACCTTGTATGACTGTTTCTGGAAGGACTGTGTGTGTTCAGGAAGTGTAGAATCCCAAGAGGCAATCTGCAACACCAGGATGTTCCTGTTGCCTTCCCTGCAGTGTCTCTTGGGATACCACGCTTCATGGACACTGTCACACAGTTGGCCATAACTCTGGAAGAATATTTTTTTTTCTATGTTCTGTTGTCCCAAAACAAGGCGTGTGGGGTTTTTTTTTTTGAGGAGTGGGTCATATGCGAGAAAATGTGGTACTATGTTTGTCTGCCCGCGGGTAAATTTCAGCGAGATATGTTGGCTTTCATTTAATGGCTGTGACAACTGACCCATTAAGATGATTCCATCTTTTCCTTACAAGCATACTTTCTATTTAGGAGCTATTTATGCAATATGCTTGTATCTGCATGTAGACTGAAAACACTGATCCAGTAGTTTTCTGTTGTGTAATACCTTAAAATGAAGCTGGCCTTCAAACTCCAACTCTGGGACATGTTTCACTACAAGTGCCTTTACTGAGACTCATTGCTAAGAGCACTTTGCTACTGGACTTCTACCTCCAAGATCATGGGAAATAGTTTCTGAGCTGACTGCTTTAGAGAGTCAGCTAGACAGATGTGCATAAAGCGAGGAGGTATGGTTACAGGCAAGATCTACACTTAATCTGAGCCTTTAAGAGTTAGTATGAAAGACAGATGCATCTTTGTCTGGAATAAGGTCCATGTCTTTTTAATTTTTTTGCCTAAAGCAAGCACCTGTATAACTTGTTTGATGCCCAGAAATGCTCAATGCTTATTTATTTCATTTCAAAATGAGGCAGTTTGGAACCTCTCCAAATAAAGCCACTTATATGGCATCTCAATATTGAATGAAATAATTTATTTTACATACCAGTGTTAGAAGATTTGACTTTGGGATTTTACCAGCCATTAATAAAGATGGTTGGTGTTCGGAAATATGTGGCAAGACCCATCATGAATCATAAGGCAGTAATGGACTATCTTAAATATCATCTGTTTCTACAGCAGGTAACTTCATGTAGAAATATTGGCATGTTGTCTGCCATTCCTTTTGAAATTACAAACCTTGTGTCCCTCTTTGTTTTAATAAAGTGATGGTGTTAATTTATATCTTTCTATATTGTGAAAGATATGGGCAAACTGCTACTGTTTTGTAACAAAGTAGCACATTGCA